AGCAGGAATAATATTTTTTCAAAAGTGCTTTAATGATTTAGCAACTTAAACTCCGTTTTCAAGGTTGACTTAGGCACTTTGAAGCCTCCATCCCTCTGAAAGTCGACAGCACTTTGTCTCCAAAATACCTAATCACTTCTAAAAATGAGACGTGGGCACTTCTAAAAGTGTATCCATAAGGATTTATTTTCACTGTTAGGCACTAAATACCTTTGCAAATCTATCTCCTAGCCACTAAAAGGGATTTATAGTATCCCGGAGATCACTGTCTCAAAAGCAGGTGTCTATAATGCTAATTGTACTCACCAGAAACAACTGAAGAGTGAGTGAGAAAGGTGAGACTTGCAGGAGCAGAAAACTCAGACTTCTCACTAGCTGGCTTTCAAGTATAAAGCTTCATAGCACAAGTACCAAGTATGATGGCTTGGCATTAGTGCATCTAGCAGCAAATGTGAAATCCATATAGCCTTCCCAGAATAATGATGACGAAGATAAAATATCTCCAAACCCTAGCCTCTTGAGAGGCAGGAAGAGAGTTAAAGGAGAGCACTAGGGATATTTTTGGCCACGAGTAATATCTGTAAGGCATTCAGCTAGCATGAAGATGATAGCTAAAGCTGATAGAGCTGTCAGATGTCTGAGCAAAATCCAGACTCTAGTGAAGTCAAAAATCATATGACAAAAATGGATTAAGCAGACTCTGTATACAGCACGTTTACTCTCAGTGCTGTTGTGTTTATATAAATGATGTTGATTCAGCAGTGGGATGAGTATGCTACATATTTTGATGCTGTTTTTAAATCCTTGTTCCTTTTATCACTGATCAGCTGAAGATAAAACATTGCAACTATTATATATATTTCAGGGTCACTTTGAAAAATGCTCTCTGATTTAGAAATCTAAGCATCATTTCAGCTTGAGCACCTACTAATGATTTAGCTTTATTTTTTTTGACTCTCTCTCATTCTCACACAATTTGTGCACAGATGACTGAAAGACATCTGAAAAATAGTTGAAGCTGGCACTTTCTAGGTGATAATCTGCCCCAGCCACATGTAGCATACCATCATTGTCAAAAGAAGTTTAAACAGAAATGAAGGACAAAATATGGTCCTAAATCTAGTTCACAAAGAAATACCTTGATGTGTGATGTTTTATGTCACTGGTAGGGCTAAGTCTTTGCACATACTCATAGTTTTACCATTTATCAGCAATGAAGATCACTCCAGACCATGCAAATGAAGTTTATATAGCATACCACCCCATCTTTTATTCTCTTTCTCCAAATCCACTATACTAAGAGAGCTAACACTGAATGTCCTCACAGAAGAAGTGAGTTTTTAGGATAGATTTAAAAAGAAATAGGTTGTTGAATGATTCAGAAGGGATTTTATGTGGTTGGTTCAAAAATATAATAAGTAGAAAGAGGGGAGAACTTTTTGACCTGAGCTATTAAAAAGTTCCAGAATTTTTAAAACAGAGATTAGGCTGAGTTTCAGGCTAACTGTATTACTAATAGTATTAAGACAAATATTACGTGCGTCTCCCCCAATAGCAAATTAATGGTATTTTATTAGAATAAGATGTACCTAGAATAAAGCTCCATCAACCTTTTGTTGTACTAGTCATATATATTTGAACTGGTGAAATGGTAATTGTTTTGTACCAAAGTATTTCTCTGCCATTTTTTCCCATTTTTTTTTCAAAAATATCAAAGATTTTCAATACATGAAAATGTTCCATCAAAGTTTTAACTTAAAACATCATTCTTCATTGAAAATATTTTCAAATAATCTTGTTGCTGGCTTTAATATGTATGTGTGTTTTATGTGTATAAACAATCCTGTAGTAAGTATTAAACTGTTTATAATAATGATGTTCCTGTTCCTTCAGGTAATAAACAGCACAGTGAGACTGATTTCCTGCTCTCATGTGGGTGAAAATCTGTGTTATACATTAAACAATTGAAGGAAGGTAAGTCATATTCAGCACCTGCAATGTTTCGTGTTACCATTCCCCAGAAATGATTCATTCTGACATGTTGATGCAAGTTAACTAGCAGCATTAATATGACACCTCTGCCTATTTCTTTTAGGCTTGTCAGAATATATTTACTTTCATGTTCTAATATTACTTCAAAATTATTCTAGGTGACAAATACGTTGCCTGAAGTGTACTACTACATGATTGCTGAATTACCAAAGATGATATTTTATTGGAAAATGATTCTCAAGTTTAGAATTCTGAGGGCTAAATTCTGGAATGGCTATTTAAGTTTTTACTCAGCTCTTATCTCAGCAAAATTCCCTGTGGATTAAACTTGAGTGGGGTTCACATTCTGATCTCTGAAACCGCATTTGGTGCATTGAAAATGAGTTTCTAGGAGTGAAACTGAAAACTTCCCAATTATAGGCCTGATCCTGAAATTCCTAGGCCTGCAGTTATCTTTGATTCTGCTGTCATATGCACAATTTTTACACCTATGGAATCTCCTTGCACCAGTGAAGTCACTCCAGTTCTACATTCCTGTGAGACCAGAATTAAATGTAAAATATGGGCAAATAATTTTGTTGTATTGATATAAAACAAAAATAATTACAGTATACATTGTATCTGTTACCTGAAATATTACAGGCATCTTCAATTACGTTCCAGACACTTTCGCATCCATTTGCAGCACGAATGCATTGCTCTTTCAGATGCAGGCAGTCAGTGGTCTGGGAAGCAGACGTGTTTTGGAAGTATACAACTAATACTGGATAAAAGAAGACAATAATGATTAGCTGGTACTACAAGTAAATATTTGCCTCCTTGCATTTGTGCTTTGAATTGTATAATGTAATTTATTGTAGATTGTATGTCATGGCAAAAGAACTAGTTAGCTTTTTATTACTTAGCAATGTACAAAATTTTGTAATGTTCTTCTAAACCCTAAACAATTACGGTGATGCATTTACTGACTTTGCATTGATGCAACTCCAGTGCCTTAAGTTTGACCTAATGGGAGCTCTTAGGGTAAATCTAATTGTATTCAGCTGTGTTATTCATATTTGTGTTGGTATAAGTGAGCCCAGAATTTGACCCAAGATCTTCTGTCTTGCCCAACAGAAAAAACATTACACAAGCTTCCAAGTACAGGCAGTCCCCGGGTTACGTACAAGGTAGGGACTGTAGGTTTGTTCTTAAGTTGAATTTGTATGTAAGTCAGAACTGGTACATATTGTAGGGGAAACTCCAGCCAAACATTTCTCCAGAGCTCAGTTTTATTCTCCCACACCTCACTTCCCTCAGTCCTTTATTCTCAAGCTGAAGTATCTGCTGAGAAAAGCCGCTCCGCATCTCCCTGGTCTGCTGGGGGAGGCGCTAGCTTCGCGTCTCCCTGGTCTGCTGCGGGGAAGCAGCTAGTGCGGGGTTGCCTCACCCCGTTTGTAAGTAGGGATCCGATGTAAGTCGGATCCATGTAACCCGGGGACTGCCTGTAATACTTTCTTTGTCAGTTCATCAGTCCATAGCAATACAGACATATAAAGGCATTGCAGTCCTTAAATGAAGGGTTAAACTAAAGGGCAAGTATAAAAGTCAAAGGAGCACTGAATTTCACTTCCATTGCTGTTTGCTAACGCTAGATGCTACAGGATAAACATATCAAGCAATATTAAAGATTTTTGACAGCTGTAGAACTGGAAGATGATACAGTTTACTTCTTTATGACATACAGGCTGTGTCTAGACTGCAGGGTTTTTTCGAAAAAAGAAGCCTTTTTTCGAAAAAACTTTACCTGCGTCTAGACTATAGCCGCGTTCTTTCGAAATTAAATCGAAAGAACGCAGCTTTTCTTTTAATGGCAGTACTTCTCATTTCACAGGGAAGAATGCCTTTTTTCGAAAGTGCTCTTTCGAAAAAAGGCATCCTTGAATGCAAAGAGGGCTTTTTCGAAAGAGAGCATCCAGAATGCCTGGGCGCTCTCTTTCGAAAAAGCAGCTTGCTTTTTCAAAAGTACTGCTTGCCATCTAGACGTAGCCACAATGTTTCCTTCTATATATATTTTTGGGGGAATGCATGAATGTTGGCAAAAACAAAATTTCAAATTATTTTTCAGCATCACCAAATGCACTGAACTTTAAGCCCATTTTTGAACTGCAAAACTGAAGACTGAGGTATCAGTTGCATGGCAGAGGTTTATATCTAAATGGTTCCTGTTGCTTATCTTATCAACAGGAAATTAGATTGACCTTAGTGGAAGAGAAGAGACAGGTCTGGGTTAATGTTTTAATCAGCATTCCTATGATAAAACTGCCTTTACTACGATACCATGTTTTAATTCTTCTGTTAAATTAACTTTCAGACATTAATTTAGGGCTTGATCGGGCAAGAGGCTTTATGGGAATGGTTTCACTAGCAGTTCCTCAGAGGATCAGCGATTACTATTAATTCCAGGTGACATTCATGGAATTCTATATGGGCATTCAAAGAATGCTCTGTGGTCCTTAGCCTCAGCAGTGGTAAAAGGACAAGGAATGTGATCTAGGGGCTTGCCTAGGCACTCTGCACTGGGATGACTTTCACACATTTAGCAAGGTTCAGTTAGAATGCATCTACACTGCACATATTTGTGCACAGATGACTGAAAGTTGAAGCTGGCACTTTCTAGGTGATAATCTGCCCCAGCCACAATACCATCATTGTCAAAAGGAGTTTAAACAGCTTGAAATAAGATTTGCCATTTGAGCTACTCAAGTTGTGTATCCTATTTCGATCTTATTTCAAAATAGCTTCTTTCTAAATTTGGTGCTCTCTACACAGTGCCAAATTTAGAAATAACCCACTATTCCCAAAATCCCTTATTCCTCGTGGAATGAGGTTTACAGGGATGTCAGAATAGCAAGTTCGAAATAACGGGCTTGCTGTTAAGACATGGGATAGCTATTTTGGGATACTCTGGTATCCCAAAATAGCTTTGCAGTGTAGACATAGCCTAAGAGAACAATTTTAAGCAATTTCTTCTGCTTAATGATAATGTCATGCATTGTGAAAATGGTGCTCTGCTGTGAGGTATTGTTATTACTACAGGGAGCATTAACATTTAACTTGCCATCACCGACAGGTGCATCAACATTTAATATCTCATTAGAGATGTCACATACTTTTATCTTAATGCTAATCCAGCTGGTATGGAGAAAAGGAATAATCACCCAATTATGTACAACCTTCCCAGCTACTGGATCCAGTCTGAGCTCATAGCCAGGATAGCTATTCCACTCAGTACAGCCCATTCAGTCATTTTTCTGCAGCTGTTATTCAGTCTCAAGGAACCCAAGCCTGGCCCTTGGACAAGGGATAACTTCAACTGACATATATAGCAGCTGTGATCCTGAGGTCTATTCATATTGGTCTTTCCAGTTGTGAAGTCCTTTGTACCTGTGCATTTAGACCCATTGCCGATTTGAAAGCACTTGTCGCCCACTTTGATGGGATAAGCCAGTGATGATGCAAGATGACAGAAACTCCTCTGGGAAGGGGGGTCTAAGTGAATGGACAATTTTTACATTATCCTGTTCCCGCTGTTGGGGTGATGGAATCTTAAGTTAAGTCTCTGACTGTGTTCTGCACCACTAAAGCTCTGTGAATGTGGGCTCTGTGTCTTTAATCCCTCTCTTGCTGATTTAGCCCTTCAGAACTGTTCCTTGCACATGAACAGCTGTGAGTTGGGAACAGGGAACAGCCAGGTACCAGCTCAGAGTTTCTTCTGGTGCCTATTAAACTGAGCTGCCCTTTCAAAATCAAAACCTTTAAAGCCATTCACCCCATTAAAGCGCTTTGCCATGTCTAATGACGGCGGCTCTCCACTGTACTCTGAAATGTTTGAGCCAGTAGCTTTCTGAAGTGCAATACACCCACCTCATTTTATTAATTTCTTTCTGCATTTGTGCAGCCAGTAGTGGTTGTGATGCTTAGTAGTGGACTCCAGATATTTTAGATATTCATGCAGACTGTCCCACCAGCAATCATTTCTCTTAGTGAACCACTTCTTTTAGAAGTGGAGCTAGATTACAACTTCTTTTAGAAGTGGAGCTAGGTTACAACTAATGCAATTAATATGATGTATATCAGAGTAGCACATAAAGACCTCAAACAAAATCCATATTTCATTGTGCCTGGTATTGTGCATACATGTGGTAACAGACTGGCCTTTCCCTAAACAATTTACAATTTAATCAGAAGGCTAGAGAAAGGAAATGATGTTGTGTCCAACTTAAAGATAGGAAACTGAGTCACAGAGAAATTAAATTACTTGCCCAAAGTCACAGAAGAAATCTCTGACAGAACTGGATCTAGATCTCCTGAATCTTTGCCCAATACTTTAGCTATACAAAAGTGACACAGAAAAAAGGAAGGTAGGCTATAAAAGGGAAGAATATTGCAGACATAAAAATCTAGACAGGAATTCTGAAGCTAGAGCTCAGACAAATAATTAATGGGAATGTTGTTATAAACAGCAGAGTTAGTCTGTAACTGGAAAAACTTTTAAAAAATAGTTTAGCAGGACCTTAAAGACTAACAAAACAAGTAGATGGCATCATGAGAAAGACAACACACAGATACCTGTTGGAGAACACTTTAACCTGCCCGGGCACTCATTAATGGATCTCAAAGTCAGAGTGTTGTTTCAGACCAATTCCACAAGCCAAATACACAAGAAAGGGTTGGACCTTAACTTCATTTACAAGTTTGATTTCTATCTTATTTATGCTTGGATCTGGACTTTCAATACTCCAGTCATCTGAAGAAGTGGGTTGTACCCACAAACACTTGTGATACCATCTACATGTTTTGTTAGTCTTTAAGGTGCTGCTAGACTTATTCATTTTTAAAAAAGTTTTTCCAGCAGAATAAGAAATTAAATGGCTTTGATAATACTGTTATACACAATGGGAAACTGAAGGATATAAATGAACAGGAACAAAGAATTAAATGCATAGGAGCATTTATGTCATCTTATTCTCTTCTATCAGCTTCCTATATTCATTGATTTTTCTTTTTCCATTCACATCCCCTGGGAAATGTCAATAACTGTCCTTACTACCTGCACTTACGCTTTCCACTCAGCAAACAAGGTCTGTTTGTTCAGACAAGGGTTCCCATTTGCAGGTCTTCTTGATGACTGACTTTCTTATCAGTGCTCAAGCTAGGTCACAAAACAACACGCTGGTTCCTGCGCCGTATTTACAGACTTGAGACTATTGCCAGGGCCGGGCTCGAATAAGTTTGTTAGGGGCCATATTCAGCAAAGCAAAGCCCGAGAGGATGAAGTGAGCGCTCATCCATCCCTTCCA